TGACGATTTATTTCACAATTGGATCAAAGATGGTTGACTGGCAGGCATCTGTTTTGTTTTTTATGCGGTATCTTGGACGTGCTCTGTCAGTTTTCATTCAAATTTGGCACATACATGTACTTTATACATGTTAGGATGCATGTCCATGACAATTTGTTTCAAAATCTGGTCAAGGATGGCCGATTGACAGCCATCTGACTTTTTGGCCTTACTACTATATTTCCACAATTTATGTACCATTTTCATTCGTATTTGGCAACATCATACATATCAGTGTGTTTCATAATCAGATCAAAGATGGCCGAATAACGGCTGTTTTTATTTTGGCCATATTACTATGACATGAAACACGTGTTTTGATGTAAATAAACAATCTGTTGTATACGCCACGTGGAACTCAAGTTTCAAGGACAGACTCGCGACAACCCCTCCGCTTTAATATGACGAGCACAAAGAGAACTTAACGGGGACTGTGTCATTTTCAATGACTTGTGTTTATTATTGCCTCATCACTTTACCTTAATTGGTAGATTATATTTATCAAATGTGCATTTTGTTTTATGTACATTAATTACCATATGCTTGTGCAAATCTGATTCGGCAGATGTTTTAGAAATGCTTCCAATCAGATCTATGAAAATTACCTAAGTTGAATGCACAACCTATCGATAGAAACATACGCAGGTTTGGTGTGGTGCGTTTTGTATGATGACTGAACTGGTCTTTTAATGCTACCTGCATGTGATTTCTAATTGCAAGTAATGGTTCCAAAATTGCGGACAGAATTTTGGGCCATGTAACTGTACTCCTAATGCAGATTTGACTTAAATGTTGCTGTGTTTTACATTGTTATTTCAGTATTGTTTGTACTGCTCTTCTTTCTGACAACACCAGCTGTTATCTTAGCTGGTTTAGATGATATCAACTATCAGAAGGCGTTTGAAAACTTACATGTGAGTATATAGAGAAGAGAATAATACATTTACAAAATTATCGCCGTTTTTGCCAACCAGTTTTTTTTTTGAAATTTACAGATAATTTATGCTGTTGTAATAAGTAGTAACAAATATGAAGAAATTTCGCAAATGTTTGCAGTAATATTAACACACCTTAGAAATTATGTCTTGAAACTTTTCTGATTTCTGCATTAAAGTATGCACTCTTTAATGATAACTTAATTAATACCTCCATTCAGTCGGCAGAAACTTGATACCCCCACATGATGTGCTCATGCATTCATTCTATGATCCGATTCAAGATGTGAGACTGAGAAATTTTAGTTCTAAAAGTTGCACCAAAATCACTCATACCGATCGTTGTCTGTTACATGCCTGGCCCTGTTTTGCATTCACGCTTCAAAAGATGCATGAATTTTTTTTTATTGTAATCAACTTTATACATAAATTTTATCCAGGAATACCAGAATATAATCATAAACTCACGTTTCTGTAATGCATGTAATACATACTGATATTTTACATTTTTTACAGTCACCATTTGTGTCTCAGTTCTTACCAACTCTGTTACTGTGGACGTTAGCTGCTCTCTTACCCGTGCTGGTATATTGGTCAAGCTCCTTTGAAGCACATTGGACTAAGACAGATGAAAACCACATTGTCATGAGAAAAACGTTTTTCTTTCTTCTCTTTATGCTGCTTATTTTACCATCTCTAGGACTTACCAGGTGCAAATTATAATAAATTATGCATTATGTTTCCATATAGGATATATTTTATTATCATAATATAAACCTCGGATATTTTATTTTAGTCTAAGTTCACCAATCATGAGTAATTTTTTTTTTGCATAAATATATGAGTAATGCGCTGAACTTGTATACTTAAATATGTATTTATGCAAATGTGCACTCTAGCATGTGAATGCTGTTTAGTGATTAATATTGGTATTCAATAATGATATTTGTACCATTCTCAGATTATGGAATTTTTAATTTCAAGCAATGTTTTTGAACTACGAATAAACACACAAGCTTGCCAATATGGAACATGTTAAGTATGTAGTTGTCTGACTGCATACACAAACCAGGAAGTTCTGGATAACCGTTTGGTAGCATGTACAATGAAAACAAGTTCACTGTTTGTCTTAGGGAAACCCCCAGTGAAATATTCATTTGCACAATCAAATGCATGTTCTGCAGTATTTATACTGATCGATTCATGTCATTGTTACTTTCTGATTACAGTGCTCAAGCTTTTTTTGAATGGTCTCTGAGTAATGAAGAATCTATCAAAATGCGATGGAAGTAAGTGTTGTATTGCACACATTGGCCATCATTATCATAAACAAAATTTATGTTGTTTTTGAATTGAATTTTTAGCTCCGCTGTCGACTTTGCCGAGCGGAGCTTATCATATGAGTGATTGTCCGTCGTCCGTGTCAATGTTTTACTTTTTCGACTTCTTCTTGAAAACTACAAGCCTGAATGCTTTGATACTTGGTGTATATGCACCTTGGGTAAACCTCTCTTAGATTTGTTCATTTCATAATGATATCTTCAATTCTCTAATTTTGGTGAATATTTTTGTCATTTTTGGTAAAAAGGGATATTTTCAACATTTTCAACTTCTTGTTAAAAACCAAAAGTCCAATTGCTTTGATATTACGGTACATATATAGGTACTACATGTGAACCTCTCTCAGATTTGTTCATTTTGTGATGATATCTTCAATTCTCTAATTTTGGTTAACATTTTTGGTAAAAAGTGATATTTTCGAATTCTTGTTGCTTTGATACCATGCATATTGTTCCTTTTCTAATGTTATCTTCAGTTTTTCAATTGAAATGTGCATTACTAACAGCGGAGCTATCTCAGCCAACAGTTATCTCTATTATAACATCTCTATTTACCAAGATGTAACATCCTCCTTTACTGAATAAATTACAGTGCTTTACAATACCATGACTTGAAACTACTAAAAATTTATATGAATTATAAGAAACTGTAGAAATTCCCCTCTCCTTAATTAATGCTCTAAACTATTTATGTTTGTGTTTCTAGTTGTATATTTTTACCCGACAATGGTGCATTCTTTGTCAACTATGTCATCACCTGTGCATTAGCTGGCACTGCTTTAGAAATTATTAGACTGCCGGAATTGATCTATTATGGGTGCAATATGCTATGGACAAAGTCTGAAGCTGAGAAGATCACCAAACGAAGGGTGAGTTTATAATAATGACAACTTCAACTAAAATATGTTCTGTGCATTGTATATGCTGCGATATAATTGCAAATATTCATCCTCCTAGCCAATCACCACCAGACTACATTCAAATGAATGTCTAATGGAATTCTTTGCTGAAATTATGAGTAATAGACACTTTCTCCATTAACATCTATATCGTAGAGGTATAAAAAAAGATGCATGCATGATTTTGTATGTTTTCTCAGTGGAGTTCATGGAGTTTTTGACTCCCGTGTGCGAAGCACACAATGGGAGTCTTTGCAGTTACCCTGTCTGTATATGTGTATGTGTGTGTGTGTATGTGTGTCCTTCTTGTCCACTGATATCTCAAGAACCATACATCGTTTTTTGATGAAACTTGGTGTATAGATGCTCTGGGCCAATGCGCTGATTTGATTAGGTTTTGGTAGAAATCCATGCATATTAATTACCTAATTTGCATGATAATTAGCTCATTTTTAGCTGTTCCATGACTGTTCCACTGATATCTAAAGAACTACTTATTGGATTATGATGAAACTTGGTTCATAGATGCTTTGAACTAATGCCAGGTTTTGATTAGTTTTGGGTGAAAATCTGTGCACATTAATTACCTAATTTGCATAATGATTAGTAAATTTTCGGCTTTTCCACTGATATCTCAACTACTAATCATCACATATCAATGAAACTTAGTACCTAGATGTCATAGGACACTGCACAGACCTACCGGTAGTAGTTTTTAGGGTAATATCAGTACATACTAATTACCTAATTTGCATAATAAATTAATTTTCAACTTTTGATATTTCAAGTAGTAAGCATTACATTTCAATGAAACATGGTACATAGATACTCAAGGACTATGCAGAGATCGATTGTTTTGGGATAAATATTTGTGCATATGAATCACCTAATTTGCATAATTAGTTAATTTTCGGATTTTCACGTATATCTCAAGTACTAATCATCACATTTCAATGAAACTTGGTACATAGATCCTCTAGGACTATGCAGAGATCTGATTAGTTTTGGGGTAAATAATTATATATATTAATTAACTTATTTGCATAATTATTTAATTTTCAGCTTTTTCACTGATATCTCGAGTACCGGTACTTATCATCACCTTTAAATGAAACTTTGTACATAGATGCTCTAGAACAATGTACAAATATGATCAGTTTTGGGTTAAAATCTGTTCATATAAATTCCCTAATTAGCCTAATAATTCATAATTGTTCTGATCACATTTCAATGAAACTTGATACATAGATGGTCTGTTACATTGCGCAGACCTTATTAGTTTTACACTCTGTTCATTTTAATTTTCTGATTTGCATAATTAGTTTTCAGTTTTTCCATCAATATCTCAAGTACAAGTAATTTTGAATTAATTTTTACTGTGTCTCTAATACTCTCAGCACACAGAAGTTCTTTCTAAGCTTTCTTTGATTATTGCTGTTGTTTCTGTACAGGAGTTGGCTTATGAATTCCAGTTTGGTATACAGTATGCCTGGATGTTGTGTATATTTACTATTGTAGTTGTCTATGGTATCACCTGTCCTCTCATTGTACCATTTGGTGAGTATATTTGTTTATCAGTTCTGACTTTAGTTTTTTTGCAGATTCCTCAATAGTTTTCTCATGTGTTATCTCCCTCCTGTCCACTAGAATTGCCATTTTCATTGAATCTCATGTCCACTGGCTGGGACTGGTATACTTCCATAAAACCTTATGTTCATTGAGACTAGTACAAGAACCACCTGTTCACTGGGACTGACACCTTTCCCATATGTGTCATTTACCCTAGCTCCTATCTATTTTTCACACTTTTATTGTCCACTCAGACTGGCACTTTCATTATAAAAACCACCAGTCCCATATTTGGCGTTTGCCCTCCTGTCCCACATGTGGTATTCCTCCTCCTATCACCTTTGTGTTTGCGTCCTTTGTCCACTAGGGTACTGTAAAATCTGTATTAAAAGCCGCGGCTTCTATTAAAATGGTACAATGCAACAGAGGGGATGCGGCTTCTATTAGAGCATCTACACATATGAGAAATGATGAATTTTTGGGTCTCAATTGTTAAAAAAGAATGGGTGTGGCTTCTATTAGGGATGCGGCTTTTAGGTAGTACTTTTATAGAACTGTTCCTATGAGAATGCTAAGTAAAATAATTGCTTGATATTATTTACAGGTTTGCTGTATATGGTGTTGAAACATATGGTAGATAGATACAATATCTATTTTGCTTATGCGCCCTCTCGAATTGATAAAGGAATACACAATTCAGCTGTCAACTATGTCATCATCTCGGCAGTATTTTTGCAATGTTCTATACTATTCTTCTCTGTCATCAGACTAGGTATGTTATTGCTTTCAGAGATAACGTCAGTTTTTTCTGGCTTAATATGCTTAACTGTGGATATGTAACAACCATATAAACCATTGCTACATACTGATACAAACTTGTATTTCTAAAGAAGCAATAATTTATATTATTATTATTTATCTTGTCTTGAAATATATACCCTAAGCTGCTAAGATGAGATTTTTACATTCAGTGTTTGATATATTAAAATACCATGATAATATGTAAAAGTGCATTGTCAGATTTATTTGCATATGCAATTTTAAAAGAGCAAATTGTGTACATTAAGTATACTTTAATGCAACACAATTTGGTATAGAATGGGAAGTATTTGTGATTTAGAACATAGCAATAAGAACATTCAACTCAAAGGATTCTTTGTCAAGTTTTGTGTGTTAATAACATACAAATTTCTCTTATATGTGCTTTCAGGTTCTCTGGATCCAAGGACTATTGTATCTGCTGTTGTACTTATATTAATTTTAGGTCTGCTTATAGCAAAGACCTGTTTCAATCTGTGGATGGGTTTTATACCCCATGCATATGAGGAATTTACTAATCTAGAAGAACCAGTATCTCAAGAGGAGGAACCCACTGTGAGTAGTCTGTCTTGTTGTGACTGTATTCATTACTACAGTGTTTCAGATTGTAGTCTTGAAATAAGGAAATGTTGAGTTCAGTTGAATTGAAAAACAGTAGAGAAACCTACAGTGTCTTTATTAGTTCCATTTCGATTCAGTCCAAAAACAGAGACTTGTGTTTTGACCTCCATGTGTCCATCTATGCATCTCCGACTGTATCTTGGACATGCCTATAATCCGATCACATTCAAACTTCACAAATACATCATATATCTTGGGCGACATATGATTTTATTTCATGATCAAATTCAAGATGACCAAATAGCAGAAATGCTAGAAATTCATCAAAATCAAACATTTATGCCATTCCGGAACCAGACCTTCGTAGTGTATGGTCACATGTCATTCAAACTTACATTGAACATTATAGGGCTTTGTTGCATGTCATTTTGATCGGTTTCAAAATGGCTGACATTTTTATTTTAATGGAAGTTCTGGAACTTTATCTCAGACATGTCCTTACTGTGTTCATTCAAACTTTACATATACTACACATTGCATGTGTGCGTATTTATTTGGTTATCGGATTCAAGTTGGTTGTATATTAAAAATTAGTCAAAAACAAGCATTAATTTCTGCAATTTTGGTTCCTGGTCATGCATAGACAGATTTTGTTCAATATTGGTAGATACATTGAACTTTATGGAACCTTAATGCATGTCACTTTGTTGTCAGATCAGACTCAAAATGGCCGACTGGTGTCTGACTGGTTTGTTTAGTAAATGCAATTTTGTCATATCTCAGGCATATCTCCGACATAATTCTGACTGTTCATGTTAAAACTTTATATATTTCTTAAGCTTGAGAACTCACAAGGACTATGTAATGTAATCTAGTTGAAATTCAACATATCATGTTTTTCCAGGGTAATAATTTTTTTTTCATCTTGCAGAATTTTGTACCGGGTGTACTTTACGACCGAATTCCAAAACTGAAGAAATTGATGATGGCCTTCGTCATGGTGCTCCACCCCGCCTTGCTTATGGTGCAACCTCCACTGCTGCCTCTGATTATGGGTCATCAGACATCTCCACAAAAGAAAAAGCCCCGCTGGCAGAGAATATTGAACAATGAGAAAAAGAAACAATATAACAATGCTGGTACTAATTTCAGCATGGCATCAGCCAATCGAGATGCTGAAATGTTTGAGTTACAGACGTGTAGACGTTCAAAAATGTATCAAGTTACACAATTAGGGCGTGGTTTTGCAAAAGTGGGCGTGGTTTCTAAAATGTTCAATGTTTGTAACTCGATGCCCAAAACTCAAACCATTCAAAATCTCTTCAGTATCTGTTACAACCACTGATTACTCATAAGTGATTGAACTTTTTAATTATATCCACAATGTTTATGCTCAGATGGTTTGTCTAGGAGCCACAAATTAAGGCTAACCTAAAATTTAACAGGTTTAACAGATGGAGTAAGTATCAGTTTTCAAAAAAACATCAAATATAATTTTAAAAAAATATCAAAGACATGTATTATAAGTACAATGTAATGCTTTTCTCAATACTATAATCAATGGAAATTAAATTTGTAGTGGGCTTCTGCAAATTAATAAAGAAGTATTTTGCGCAATATGACGCATAAAATAATACCCATAATCCTTTATTCAATGTGGCTGTTTAAAATATTACCCATAATCCTGGCTCAGTATTCAATATGGCTGCATCAAGTAATACCCATAATTTTTTGTTTAATATTCAATATGGCTGTATAGAATAATACCCATAATCCTTTGCTTGATACTCAATATGGCCACATGAAATGAAACTCGCATTCCTTTGCTCAGTATTCAATATGGCCGCATAAATGAAACCCATAATTAATCAATCAATTAAATATATATAGCGCCAGTATGCATAACATAAAAGATGTTATAGCTAAGCCACACTAAATGCATTTGAGACTAAGTAAGTCTATAGTTTGTCTTAATCCTTCGCTCAATGTTTCAATATGGCTGCATGAAAATTACATTTCTTTGCATGGTGTAAAATTTTAAAACAAAGCAATAGTAACTGATTTGATATTTGAGAATAGAAGTATGTTTGTATATTTGGAAGTATTTTAAATTGTGTGATGTGTATTACTTAACTTGTATTTTACTATACACCATCACAGAGACAGAAACAAATCAGAACATAAATTTTGGAAGCATGCAGAATTACGTAAGAATTTTCCACCCATATCTGTCAGTGAAATTTACTCTTAATAAAAAATATGCTACTAGCACATACTGGCATCTATGTTCAATTCAGCAGGACTGAGAAATTTACTGCAGAACAGCTGTATGGTGATTGCTGAATACCGTTGACAGTCTTGCTGTGACTTGTTTCCAACTTGTAAAATATAATTGTTTACGTGAAGAATTTGAAAGCTTCCCTATAATATAGGCTACTTTATATCTGTGTGATTGTGTTTTGTGTATAGAAAAGTGATATATTTATGGAGTGACCGCGACAAATGAACTGAGTCTGTGGAAATTAGAGATATGTACATATATACAGTAATTATATATAGAAATATACAAGAGTTTATTTATTCCTGAAGACTTGTGTTTTGTGATATTATTTTGTATGTTTTTATTACATGTTGATTATTTGAAACTTATCTTTTTAACAGCGGTATACTGTTCCCATTTGAGAAGCACAGAAGAAAGTCATTACTATTAACACGTTTATTTGTTTTTATGTCTATGCAATGTGTACGCCCACAACAATAATCTCATTCATTAACATGCTGTCCCACATTTTTACACGATTCTTTGTATCAAAAAACTTGAATCAACATTATTTGTTGTCAAATATCAACTATGTGTTTGTCATATTCAACTCAGTTGTTTGATTTAATCTGTGTACCGCATTGTACCTCCTTACATATGTTCGGCAGATTAACTTTGTACCTAATATGCTATATATATTTTGGTAAGGGCTCGTTGAAGAAAAGTTGATAATTTCTTCAATTTTGGTATCAAAGGTATTGATAATGGAACATTGGGAAAAATGTTCTGTTTTTAGCTCCGCTGTCGACTTTGTTGAACGGAGCTTATCATATGAGTGATTGTCTGTCGTCGTCCGTGTCAATGTTTTACTTTTTCAACTTCTTCTTGAAAACTACAAGCCTGAATGCTTTGATACCTTGGGTGGACCTCTCTTAGATTTGTTCATTTCATGATGATATCTTCAATTCTCTAATTTTGGTGAATATGTTTGTCATTTTTGGTAAAAAGGGATATTTTCAACTTCTTGTTGAAAACCGCAAGTCCAATTGCTTTGATATTACATATATAGGTACTACATGTGGACCTCTCTCAGATTTGTTCATTTTGTAATGATATCTTCAATTCTCTAATTTTGGTGAATATTTTTGTCATTTTTGGTAAAAAGTGATATTTTCGACTTCTTGTTAAAAAGCACAAGTCCAACCGCAATTCTGATTGCTTTGATACTACATATATAGGTACTACATGTCGACCTCTTTCAGATTTGTTAATTTCGTGGTGATATCTTCAATTACTTAATTTTGATGATTATTTTTGTCATTTTTGGTGAAAAGTGATATTTTTGAATTCTTGTTGAAAACAGCAAGTCCCGTTGCTTTGATACTATACTTATTGTTCATTTTCTAATGATATCTTCTGTTCTTTAATTGAAATGTGCATTGCTAACAGCGAAGCTATCTCAGCCAACAGGCTGCTTTTGTATCTTCATATACCCCTTGAAGTCAATTTCAGGCACCATTCACAAAATAGTTTCATTTATAGTCTGCTCTTTTCCGCATGCAGTGTTACGAAAATTTCAAATTTATTGATCAAATAGTAGAAGCAATTTTGTGCTTTTGGTCTGAAATTAACATTGAATTCAATAACTGGAAATGTGAACAAATTTATCCAAATTTTAGCAGCAAAAAAAATTTGGCACTCGAATAGTTCAGAGCCTGTTCAACTAAGGGAAAGTTCAAGATTCTCTGTCAGTATCTATTGGTGAGAGCTGAACTTGTCAGTTAACAAAGAACCATTTTTTTTTTTTATTTATTTATTTATTCATTTCTGTCAGTTCACAATGTGCAATAAATGTATTTACAGAAAGTGATGTTCAGTTTAGTGCATGAAACAGGATTATATACAGATTTGTTTGTGTATCTATTATATGACTATGTATGTTTTTGTGCCATGTACTTATTATTGACAGCATTTTGAATATTTAATCAACTGAAATATTGTAATTGCATTTCGCATGAAGAGACTTGATTGTTCATAACTATCGTGTTTTGATGTAGGGTGGAGGCATAGTTCGGTGGATGTGGGATGCATAGTTTGGTGGATGTGGGATGCATAGTTCGGTGGATGTGGGATGCATAGTTTGGTGGATGTGGGATGCATAGTTCGGTGGATGTGGGATGCACTGGTGGAGTCAATACACTTGATATATTCTATATAGATTTTTAAAGAAGATCATACAGTCTGCATTTGTTAAATCTGGAGAGGCTTATTATCCATGCTGATGTTATCCAGTTTCCTCCTCTAAATATATTTCTAGTCTAGCTACTAGAGATATAGGTGTCATGTCCATGCTCCCCTACACCCACTTCCTCCCCCCCCTACAGGAATACTGTGTAGATGGTAGTCAGTATTATGTATTATACTGTGAATAATGAGGAATGTAGAAATGTGTGCTGTCACAATAGGGAATTGTATTAAACTTTGTGTTTAACTGTCAATAAAAGCAATTAAAAAGTAGGTTTCATTGTTTTGTTTATTTACAATACTACAGTCACATTTAGATGATCAGAGGGTGGCACAATGGTGAAGCTTGTAATTATTGCAATGCCAGAAAAATAAATGAGTTTTTCAAAATAAAAGAAAATATTGGTTGCAGACTTTACTCCCAAAATTCATTTTGGCTGTAGTATTTATTGTGTTTCAGACACAGTAAAAAACTGGGATTTGTTAATTATCCCTTGTACAACCTCCATGTACCGAGACCAATCTCATTTTTTACATTGTGCAAACATCATTCATCTTTAGATACTTTTACACATTCATTTGTTTCAAAAATGCGTTAAAATCGAGCATTTTTGTCGAACTGGATTTTTGACAAATTATACTTTGCACATCATTATTTTTGAGAACGGGTTAAACATGGCCATCTAGTGTCCATTTTTTTTTAATTAAAGTAGTTCCTGGGATACCTGTGACATGCCGAGACTGCACATGTTCAAACTTCACATTTACATCACATATATGTACAAGCAATCGTTCATGATGAAATACAAAATGGCTTTTATTTTAGTTACAATATTGCATCAAAATCGAGCATTTATGCGATTGTTCATGAACAGGTTTTGTTCAATCTTGGTATATGCATTGAACATGACGAAACCTTGGAGCACGTCAAAAATATCCGCCAAAGCCAAATTGAAGATAAGAAAATCGAAGTTGGAGTGAAAACGTCTGTAGTAAATGCTGGCGACCAACACATTTTGCTGGATCCGTCACTGAAGTAGATTGAGTCCAGTCCCAGTAGTTTGACGACAACGACGATGGTGTAATTCTAAATATTGAAGCAAACAAAAGCAAATTAGCTATTTAGAATACCCATTTGTGCAATACAATGGAACTACTGACCACGTTCCATGGTAATACCATCCTCCAACTCTGTGTGGGATTGTTTGGCTGAGATAAATGGTACTTGACATTTATTTGTTACCAAGTGTTTAGTGATTGTATAGTTGTTCAATCTCTTCGTTTATTCTCGCTAAGTTCTGTTGAATATGACAGTTTCATTTATATATCTTTGACATTTTTATTAATTCCGAGCAATTTTGAGTGATCGTTGGTTATTACATGTCCGTAATGATACATGTACTATTATTCCCAACAAACAGTGTCAATGCAAGGAATGGGCGATTTTATAAGAAAGGTTGACTTTTGGAACTAGGTAATTTTAGATTCCATTCCGTTTTGTGACTCTAGGCGACTGTAAATGTTTGCGCTACCTGCTTTCATGCGTCTTGACACATTGTAATTGTACTATAATGCTGAATTTATTGTTCATTTACGTTCATGTCAGTTGATATCTCGTGCGCGCACGCTATATATATATTTATACGAATACATTTAGTGATATTACCACACGAATCGCTCCTCTTTGTGTCGTTTCTTGTTGCGATTCCCTTGTTTGAGTTGGGGTCAACGGAAAGATTTGCGTCTGTCCGTCATCCGACTTTCGATTTAAACTCGGTCGTAACACGTATTATAGTACCACGTGTCATTCGGACACCGCAACACACTACATGATCAACACTTTGATAACTACATAAAAAGTAAAGAAACAAAAAGCATAAAGAAAAAAATAAGATAAAAATGTTTATACAAGGAATGTGTTATATGCATATGTATCAACAACACTCTGGTTAGGTTGTATTCGGGTCACGGAATAATATAAAATACTTGATTTGATTTTTTAATTTTGGAACGCTGGGTCGTTTCCTCCTTTTGATTCGGTCTCGCGGGAGTACAATGAAGAACCGAGATTTAAAAATCGAACCTAGTCTAGATCTTGTCATGTAAACTTGAATAACTTTCTGGTCGGTGAATTGTAACCGCAGCGATTCATTATGCGCCATTGAAACTATTTCCCTGTGGCGAAACGAAATGAAACCAATCAGTTCCAATTCTTTTCTTTTTTTCCAATTCAAATCCATACTCGTTTTAGACGGTATCCTATACATAAATGGCGTTACCCTACAACTGTGATAAATGAAAACCCACATGTCCCCAATCACGACAAATTCGCAACCTGTGTAATACATTTGCATAATTTAACCATGAAAAATTACATCAAATTAACACAGATAAAAATTAGAGCCCTGAGGGATATTCGTTATTGCTTGCAAACAGATATGTTGTTTGTAACTGCACTGATACGAATCGTGGCATTTTCAGTTGAAAACTAACTAACAGTCGATAGAAATCCTCGGTGGCAAAAAGATTACCCTAAATTAGAGACTATATATACGCTGTTTCTTGACAGTTAGAAATAGTATATTAGTATCTTAATTTAGTTTTGTCCAATATCAATCGTAAGATGTTTCGATGCTTATCGGAGAATTCAACTCTCAATCCAATCCAAGTTCCATGCAATCTAGTATCCAATATCCATCTAAAACTTCGATAATTATTGGAGAATTCGAGAAATTCGTTGTCAGGCTAGATTTCTATGCTATCTAATATCGATCTACTAAACTTTGATTAAATGTGGCAATGTGAAATGTCTCCCTCTATCCGCTGTAAACAGTTTTATCTTAACTCTAGGGCCAATCTGTATTACTGTTTTATTCTCTCGCTTATGACCATACCACAATAGTCCGGCCGTAGATTGTTAAAGGTGAATAGAGACCCTATGTAAAATCACATAAAAACGTTACATACTATAGTAAATAGTAATTTCAAATGTTTTTATGTAAAAGACATAGCGTTGTGTATACCATACTTTCCTCAATGATCACGAGTCTATACTGCCCTCAGCGATACACTTCAACCATATCTGACGTCAGTTGTGCACATAGGATGTCCACAGGCCTCATTCCACAAACGATTGATCAAAGTTGCTTTCACAAATATGTGAAACATCACTCGCAGAATAAAATAAAAACCTATAATTGTTTATCATTGTTTTCGTGAAATGTGAAATATTAAAAGTAGATATTCTTTCCTGGCCTTTTCATATACTTTATTTTGAGAGTCCTGGAAGTTCTTATCCCTAGGACAAACTTACCTGCAACCGACTGACCTTCAACTTCTAACTTGGTCAGTGTTCATTGTTCACAATTTCAACTTAATTTAAGAGGCTCATTTAAATTCATATTCTAAAGTAGATTTATCTCCCCAGTCTC